ATATATATATATATATATAATTATTTTTTATAAAAAAAATTTATAACATAAATATGTTATAAAATCACTAAAAATAGCCATTTTTGTTTCAACACCATGTGTTGAAACAAAATGGCTATTTTTGTAGTGATTTTATAACATATTTATGTTATAAATTTTTTTTTTTATAAAAATAATTATATCTGCTCTACTTTGTATTGAGCACTCTTTTAAGAATAGTAATTGTTGGTTATTGGAATTCATTCTGTATACACCAATTATATACTTATATATATATATATATATATATATATATATATTTAGTTGGTCACAAACTCACATCAATCCAACTAAATATGTTAGCTCTATGACTGATATTGAGTGCTTTCCAATAAGTAACGTGCATATATAATATATAAGTAATATATATAATAAATTGCATATATATATATATATATATATATATATATATATATATATATACAATTTATTATATATATTATTTATTTTAAAAAAAGGTCTGTGGTGAAATAATTTATTACATGGAACCTTAAAGTGGTCTGTTTTTATTTAAATTATTTACATTGAGCTCTCTGGATTTTATCCTCCTTGGGTTTACCCATACCGATTACCTAGCTTTTCATAAGCTAAACATATATATATATATATATATATATATATATATATATACTCATTTCAAACACACACACACACACACACACACATATATATATATATGTATATATATATATATATATATTCATAGACTTGTCACCTATCAATATACCTCATAACAGCCTTGAGCACTTAGCCTTGGATCAGGTAGAATGGAGATGAACATGTTTTAGTGGACTCAGCAGTTTTCAACCAGCTTGTCTGAATTGTCTTTAAGAAGTGAGTGCAAAATCTAAAAGGTCAGCCAATCTAACAGTGATCTCATCCCACAATCCTTACTCTTGCTCCATATGCAGCCTCCTTTGTGAATCACTAGCAGGTCTTAAGTGCCACTTAAAATTATTGCACAAAATTTCATAAGTGAATCAATTAAGTTGTCAGATCCTCATACGTCGAAACTTATGGGAGAGACCATTATTATTTATATACATATGTATATATATATATATATAATAATGGACTCTCCTGTTGGTATCGATGTATCTGAACAAATGAACAATTCAGGGTAAACCACCAGGAAAGCCACACAGGTGATTTGATTAAAGTGGTGAGGACTATTGATACACTTGGTCAATGCAAATAAATGCCACAGACGAAGCAAATAATAGACCTCAGCCTTTTTGTGTAACAGTTTTCCATCTCCTAGACCAGTCATGTTCTATAACACTAAATAGCTTGGTCACCCCCGGTAGGCACTATTTACCCATAGCTGGGACCCTAACAAGTGCTACCACCCCAGGCCATGGCAGACCTGGGAACAATAGCAATTAAAAGGTAGTTCCACGCTCCTCAAATCCTCCAATCTCCTGATCAGAAGACTTGCTGCTTGATGTAGTTTATCGTCATACCCAGAACAAATATATATATATATATATATATATATATATATATACATAGTCCCTCCAAATGTATTGGAATGGCAAAGCCAATTCCTTTGCTTTTGTTGTTCACAGAAGACATATATACAAATATGAATGTGAGTTCAGAATTTAAGCTTTTATTTCCTGGTATTTAAATTTACATGTGTTAAACAGCTTAGGACATCTCACCTTTTGTATCCAATCATCTCATTTTTAGGTGAGCAAAAGTAAAGTAACAGATAGTCTTAACGTAAATAGCATTTAACACTTGGTTGCCTAACTCTTGTTAGCAATAACTGCATCAAACCTGCCACCCACTGACATCACAAAACTGTTGCATTCTTCCTTTATGCTGCTTTTCCAGACTTTTAATGCAGCCTCTTTCAGTTCTTATTTGTTTTGGGAGTTCCTTTCTTCAGTCTTCTCTTCAAGAGATGAAATTCATGTTCTATTGGGTCAAGTTCTGGTGACTGACTTGGCTGGTGTAAAACAGTTCACTTTTTTTCCCCTAACAAAGTCCTTAGTTTTGTTGGAAGTATGTTTTGGTTTATTGTCCTCCTGCATGATAAACCTCCTCCTGATTAGTTTGAATGCATTTCTCAGTAAATTGATAGACAAAATGTTTCTGCAGACTTCTGAATTAATTCTGCTGCTAGCATCAAGAGTTATATCATCAATAAATATGAATATGCCTGTTCCAGAAGCTGCCATGCAAGCTCAAGTCAAGATATAGGCTCCACAATGCTTCACAGATGAACTTGTATGCATTGCATCATAAGCAGATCATTTCTTTCTCCAGACTTTGACCTTCACATCAGTTTGGTAGAGATTAATATTGGTCTTATCACTCCATAAAGTTTCTTCTATAACTTCTGTTTCTCATCTCTGTACTTCATTGCAAATTCTAATCTGGCTTTCCAATTCTTACTTCTGATGAGTAGTTTGCATTTTGTGATATGGCCTCTATATTTCTAACCTCAAAAACTTCTTCAGTAAATTGTGAAACCTTGACCCCTGCACGGTAGAAGATGTTGGTGATATCACATTGTTGTCTTTGTTTTTTAACTCACAATTGCTGTTGATTTTCTTCGCTGACCTTTTGCTTAGTACACCAATAGTTTCTTTTTCAGGACATTCCAAATTGTTGTGTTTTCTAATATCTCAATTTTCTTTCTTTTCTCAGCTTCAAAATGGCTTGCTTTTCTTCCATAGACAACTCTCTCCATTGCTTTATCCTTTTTAACAAGAAATGCAGTCTTTACAGATGGAACCCAAGGCTGAAACCAAGAGTAGTTGTTCAGAACTATTTAATGTTTAAACAAGCAATCTAAAAGGCAACATTTAGGCATCAAGAAACATCTGTCAGTCAAGTGTTCTAGTAGTTTTTCCCACTTGAAAATGGGTGGGTTCAAACAAAAGGTGGTATGTCCTAAGTTGTTTTACACAACTAAATGTAAATATCAGGAAATAAAAACTGAAATTCTGAACTCTTGTCTCATATTCATCTTTTGATCTTAAACCCAAATGTCTTTAGTAAACAACAAAAAGAAAGGAATTGGCCATACTGTTCCAATAGTTTTGAAGTGGGGGGGTCTATATATATATATATATATATATATATATACAAACGAAAGAACAGATGGAGTAAAATTCTCCTTTTCATAGCATTTACTTTTTAAAAAGTGCTCAATAAAAAGTAGAGCAATATATTATTATTATTTTTAATATAAGGGATTATAATAAATCATGTTGAAATTATTGCACAAAATCTTTCAATACTTTGATTGTACTTCTTCAGGCAATGGTAAGTAACTGGTGATTAAATAATTTTTAAGGTAATTTAAAAACAAAGTGTTACTCTTTTCTGAAAGTTAAAGGCAGGGAATATAAGGTCAGATTTAAAATTAGATTTGTGGGTATGTCTTGATTAACCAGTTAAGTGTCAGATCTACACTAAATAGAAAAGTAAGCTCAGAAGGTGGAGGTGGGTGAGTTATTTTTTGATGTCATGATAAACCAGAACATAGACAGACCATCACTGACAATTGCGAAAAATATGTCAGTATCGTGGTTGTAGACAAATATGACATGTTCAGATTTTTGAAAGTGTGTTGAAGGGAGGGGTAGGTTAATCAGACATAAAGTTAACAGAAAAAATTTTTTTTAAACTTTTAGATTCAGGAAGCTTCTTAAAGCAGAAACTTATCGTCTACAATTTCTTCTCCTTTTCAGCTCTTAATAAACATTATCTCTTTGTTATCTCACCTAAATCCTTTTCTCATCATGTATGCTAGAATTTCAAATATCGCTTCCTAATGTTAAGTATATGTATCCTTTTTGTTTCCATTTTCTCTAAAACCTCGTCATTGCTCCATCATTTTCAGTCCATAGTATTCTCATCAGTCTTCTGTAGTTAGTTTTTCATCTGTGGGGAGATTGTTTGCCCTTCTCTCCCATATAGAGAAGACAGAGTTCAGTGGTTTTTTCTTTGTTTCTAGTTAAATTTTCCTATTTTTTAATACTGTGCTTAGCTTTTAGAAGGCATATTTCACTATCCCAATGTACTTTTAGATTTCAGTGATGCACTTTCCATCCTGTGTTAAAACATTTCCCAGATATTTGAATTGTTGTACTTGATTGATTTTGATATCTCTAATTTGTAATTTGCATCTTGGATTCTTCTTTTTGCTAACAACCATGCATTCCATCCTCTAGCAATTGATTTTTTGTCTTTTTCTTTAGCTTTATTTCTGTGTCTGCTATAAACACTGTGATATTTGCATCTCTTATGTTGTTAAGATTGTGGCTACCAATAATGAATTTTGGTAGAACTTATAATCCTCTCAGTATTGCCTCACTTTACAGGTTGAATTAGTGCAGTAACGAGTGACATCCTTGTCTTACTTCATCTTTTAAAAAACGCACAAGCAGAAACTCGTGAACAACAAAAGTGAATTTTTCTCACAGATACAAAACAGCTGTTATAAAAAATGATTTACCAGAACCAAAAATCTCATTGGTCATATTTGATAAAGACCTAACCAACATTAAACAAATACTTTTTAAACAATAACTTCCTAAAGAAAATTTAGAAAAATTAACACAAGATATAAAGTGAAATAAACTAGATTCACCATAATTATAAGCAGTAAGAAAAATCAATTATAATTCACCAGTACATTTCACTTAATGAACCCAGCAAACACCTTAGATTTGTCATTTAGTACAAGAAGTTCAAAATATCTAATCTAATTTTTATCAATAACACAGGTCTTCAAGAAGCCCCTATATAAAAATAATGTTGTTTATGAATTCTCATGCCCTCTGGTAGACTGAATATCCGATATAAACAATCTAAAACACAAGATAAAATTCTTGCATCGATTACGTATGCACCACACTCTCTTGTCGTCTGACTTGTTACCTGTAAAACTCAGTGCAATTAATGTGCATATCAACAAACAAATTACAAATAAGCTTATGGCCGCATCACGTTCAAACACTGGTTGCCATATGACCACCAAAGTTAAGCAACGTTGAGCCTGGTCAGTACGTAGATGGGTACCCACTTGGGATACCAAGTGCTGTAAACTTGGATGTGCAGGTGGTGTAATGGATAATGGCTTGGAATTGTTAATGAGAGAGCTGAGTTCCAGTTCTAATCACTTATATGGAAATGTCCTTGGGAAAGGTATGAAAACACTATTCTCCCCTAACTATGGGTTAATTAGTAAGACTTGAAAGTAAGAACTTAAAAATATTTTCTGACTTTAAAAGGGGTTAATGAACCTTAAAAAATGAATCAATCACTCAAGCAACACAAATGCAGTTATCAGCAAATGACAAATCCCAAAATATGTAAGAAAAATCCTCAAAAATGTAAGAAAAGACTCAAAATCTTAGAAGCTATTATTATACAAAAGAAACAACCTCACATTACATAAAATATCTTACACCACAGAAGATTGTATAATGAAGTTCATCCTGGGTATGACGATAAACTACAACTGGCAGCAGGGTCTCTGATCAGGAGACTGGAAGTTTTGAGATAACCACCTCTTAATTGCTGTTGTTCTCAGATCCACCCTGATGTGGGGTGGTAGCTTCTTTTAGGCTTCCAGCTATAGACAAATAGTTAACCCCCAAACAAAAATTAACAGTACATTTTTATAATAAAATGACCAAAAATACATTTTTATAGCAAGATAACAATCAATGCAACACTAAAATAAATATAAAAATACATTTTTATAGTAAAATTACCAACAATACTGTTGTAGTATAACTATGGATGATAATGGGTATGTCCCCATATCGGACTTAGGTAGTCAAATAGTAAAAGGAAAAAAAAAATTTGAAGGAAAACATTGTCGCCTTACTAATCCCTACCCAGGCTCTGTTCTCTCATCCTTTTACACAAATTCATTACTTGATGTTTCCATCTGTTAAAGTTGCCTTCAATATTTCCTGTGAGTGTCAAATTCTTCAGGCCCTCTTTCCTCATTATGTGTTTCAGGATTACTGAGAAAAATTAGCACTGGAATTAATAAGAAGAAATAATATGTAAATAGTTCATATCGTGGCAACATTTTTGGCAGTGGGCCTTCAAACATTCAAAAACCTGGCTTGTGCCTGGTTTTGAACAGTGATCCCTGTTGACAGTTGAAAAGAACTATTTGAGTCATGAGTAAAGCTTCATTGTATTTCCTAAGTTTAACTCACCAGAGCTATATACAAAAAATATTGGGGTGGGGAATAATGTAGGCAGACTGTGTCAAAACTCTTTTTTCAGGAAAAGATGTTCTTTCTTCCTGGAAAATTACCATTTAAGTTCAAAATCAATGGAAATTTCTTGGATATTATTACTGTTAAACTATCTTGACATGTCTTGACATGAGTACATCCCTCCAAGCATATGCAAATTTTTGAGAACAGAGACTCTTAAGTCTGCATTTCACAGGGAAAAGTATTTCTCTTTTCGGTTTACAACCATATCATTTTGAAACCAGTCCTTAGATCAGTTGTTCGCCAATTTGTTTTCTCTGAGCCGCATTTTCAGAAATTTGCTCACGCCTCATCAAATTTTATGTGATAAAAAGCACAATTAAAAATAAAAAGACAGAGTTAAAGGGAGATAACTGCAGATTTAAAATACGGACATTATCATTGATAACTCTCTCTTCCAATTCGCAGACCCTAATTACTATACTCTTAATACTTGATATAATGTAAAAATATCACAGTGATAAAATCAGTTAATAATTATTTATAACTATTTATACTGGGACTCATTCATGCACTTAGAATCTATAATAATATTTTATATTTTGAAATCATATTCATTTTTGACATACGGATATTTTGAAACTGTTTTTAAATCTTTGATTGTCTCTCAATCATTCTGCCTTGCCAGCTATCCTCTTCCACCATACCTATGAAGTGCACCACACCATTTAGGAACGATGGTTGACTACATGGAAATACTAAGTGCTGCCAGCTTGGAAGTATGGATGGTGTAATGGATAATGGCTTGGAATTGGAAGTTGGAGGGACAAGTTTCAATTCCGGTTGGGTTTGTTATATTCACTTATGCACAAATATCCTTGGGAAAGGTATGAATTAACAATTTCTAATCTCAGCTATGTGTTAATTAGTAGAACTTGTATCAATAAATCCTTATCATCTCCAAAAAGTTTTATAATCCAAACATATTTTGTGGTCTTAAATAACTGACAAAATGTTGGTGGGCTGTAAAAACAAAATGAATTAGTCAATCAGCTTATTCTTAAAATACCATATTCCAATAAGGTATACGTGGTCATAGCCCTCTACACCTTCTTTTTTTCATTATATTCTCTTCTCAGCTATGGGTTAATTAGTAGGACTTGTATCTTAAATCATTAATATCTCTAAAAATATTCTTAAATCTAAAAATATTTTCTGGCTTTATATAGCCTGCAAAATGTTGATAGGCCATAAAAACAAATCAATCAGTCCTGAAAATACCATGTCCCTTTAGGGTATATGTGGTCATGGCCCTCTACAGCTTCTATTTTTGATTATATGTGCATTGCTATGACAGTAGTGAAGTAGTTTTCTGCTGCCTTTCCTGGAATTTTGAATTCAGAGTTACCAACTGTGAAACTGACTACCATTCAAAGCTAGAGAGACATATCTACACTTCTATTTTACCTATACCTAGAAGAAAACAAGTATATTGATGAAAGAAGTAAAGAACTTAACTGAAAACTGAAATTTCATCCATATTGTCAATAGGGACTAGTCGATAAATAGCATAATTTTAAAATATTCCAGGAATTAATAGATTTTTAATCTGATGTTACTTCCTATTACTACTGACATTTTATTTAGTGATATATTAGTTTGATTTTTTAATGTTTTTAAACATTGTAATTACTGTCAACCTGCCTTAAGATTGATAATCTTAATAAAAAAAATGTCAGGTGAGACATTTTCTTTATTAATACATCTGATCTCTAAGCCAATAGAAGTTAATTTTGCTGTTAAAAAAACAGGATTGTCTGCTCAAATTCTTGTATGTATTAAATACAATGTTTATGGTAATAAATGTATTCATGTTTGTTCAAATCTGTCACCATATCAATTCATTGATCTGAATTCTGTGGGCATAAGGTCAACCAAACAGAGGAGAAAATAATTCTGAATGATTTTTCTTGAATATTGTCAACAGGGACCAGTTGAGATACCATAATTTTAGTATATTCATGAGTGTGTGTGTCTGTTTTGAATGCTTAACCCATTGGACCCACATTCCACAGAGAAAGTCAAATTGACCAATCAAGATGTCCATTTCCGGCCTGTTCCATCCACCTAATGTGTCCAATGTAAGGAAATGCGACTGCATGCCCCCATCTGCATCTGTGTACACATGTACGTCTGTACATTAGAGGAGCAATCTTCTCTGTAATTTTTTTGGTCAATAGCGGGGACACAGTGCCAGAGAGAATGAGCAGCCTTAACTCCCCCAGCTGACTAATGCAACATGTCAGTGGAGGAAGGCATTCTGTTTCTGTAGAGTTTGGTGGTGGGGCAATGGGAATGATTGAAAATTGTGGTTGCAAAGAATGTTGCAGGTAGCTGGAGTATGGCAAGTGATTTTAGAAGGACAGAGTCAGTAATGAAGAATTATGAGGAGGTTGGTTGGGAGGCAATGGGAGTGAATTGAAAATGGGAATGAATGAAGAAATAGGAGGAGGAACAAGACTGGAGAAGGAAAGAAGGTGAGGAAAAGAAAAGATTGAAACATCAAACAACATGAAAAAAATAAAACCGAACGAAGATAAGAAAAATATTTGTAAAAAACAAAAGGAAAAAAAATGAAAAATAATGAATAAAAAATGAGTAAAATAAACAATTCATAAATAAAGATTATTCTTTTTTTTTTCTCTCTGAATTTCAGAGATAAACTATTTTCATTATTGCATATATTTTTCAGATGGATACAAAATATATTGACGGAAGTCAAAAATCAGTTGAAACAATATAGAAACTCCCTTAAATCTTTTTACAAGAAGTCAAATCATGATTTATGATGGAGTCTCCCGCTGATTTCAAAATATGAAGGCCTAACAGTTCAGTCTAAAACAGAACTGCTGCAGTATCCACACAGATGATTTGATTATAACAGTAAAGGTATGTTTAGATTGACTAATGGATTGATTTCTTTTCTTATGATTTATCAACCCTTTGTGAATTATTTAAAACCAAATATATTTCGAAGTGTAAGAATAATTATTTTTTTTTGCAGAAATATTGCATTGACAACATTTTTTGAGATAATGATACAACTCATAGTTTCTACATACAAGTCCTACTATTTAACCCATAGTTGGGGGCGGGAAGATGGATTCATACCTTTCCCAAGTGTAAGTAGTAGAACCAGCTACATTTGTTGGGAAAACTTCTAATAGAGAAATGGTTTACAGTGTCACATGAATTCTCCAAATGGGCCTGAATTCAGAATTTTCCATCTCCTAAACATATGGTGATTTTCTACGTGTAGCTTAGATGTGGCACAAGGCCAAACGTATAGAGCAAGGAGTGAGGATTGAACTGACTATTCATACAGTTACTTTTCTACCACCTTTTCTATAAATGCTTCCATGTTAATTGTCTGGATGAGCTCAAGGTTGTGATACCCAGACTGAATATAAGTGCAGTACTAGACTGGCAACAAGGTCTTACTGATATACATCTATTTGGCTAGATGTAACTATAAGTTCTATGCTAACATTTTTTTTTCATACTTCTTGCTTGTGGAAATCCCTTCTGGCTCCATATTTTCCAGCCAACATTATTCTTCAAAAATTTAAATGCAATGTCAACTGCTATCTCCTGTCTTCCTGATTACCCTTCTTCTGTCCTTGCTCCTTAGTGGTGTTTCTGTTTTTCAATTCTTCTGCACCCAGTAACCCCTTGTGTCTCAGTGGCTTTAATGCCTTACTTGGGATGAAGATGATTAAAAAAAAATTGATTTAGCGAGACAAACTTGCTAAACATTAAAGTGCCCAAAAAATTATTTTCTAAGTGTTAGCTTAGGTGTGGTACA